TCCATAACCATTTATAGTTTACTCTGACCACGCGTTATTCTGTTTAACTGTATAATTTACATACTTATAAACATACATACATACATACATACATACCTAACTACCTGCCTGCCTGCCTGCCTGCCTGCCTGCCTGCCTGCCTGTCTGCCTGCCTGCCTGCCTACCTACCTACATACATGCATGCATGTATATACATACATACATATACATACATACATACATACATACATACAGACAGACAGACAGACAGACAGACAGACAGACAGACAGACAGACAGACAGACAGACAGACAGACAGACAGACAGACAGACAGACAGACAGACAGACAGACAGACAGACAGACAGACAGACAGACAGACAGACAGACAGACAGACAGACAGACAGACAGACAGACAGACAGACAGACAGACAGACAGACAGACAGACAGACAGACAGACAGACAGACAGACAGACAGACACACACACACACACACACACACACACATACATACATACATACATACATACATACATACATACATACATACATACATACATACATACTTACATACATACATACATACATACATACATACATACATACATACATACATACATACATACATACATACATACATACATACATACATACATACATACATACATACATACATACATACATACATACATACATACATACATACATACATACATACATACATACATACATACATACATACATACATACATACATACATACATACATACACAAATACATACATACACACACACATACATACATACATACACACACACACACACACTTAGACAGATAGACAGACAGATTAGGTCACGCTACACATAGACATCTCTGTGGTGTCATTAGGCTAGGATACACATGGATATCTATAGAATGTCCTTAGGCCAGGATAACCTGAACATCTCTGGGACGAAATTAGGCCACGCTACAAATAGACATTTCTGGGATGTCATTAGGCTAGGATACACAAAGACATCTCTGGGATGTCATTAGACTAGGATACACATAGACATCTCTGGGATGTCATTAGGCTAGGATACACATAGACATCTCTGGGATGTCATTAGGCTAGGATACACAAAGACATCTCTGGAATGTCATTAGTCTAGGATACACATAGACATCTCTGGGATGTCATTATGCTAGGATACACAAAGACATCTCTGGGATGTCATTAGACTAGGATACACAAAGACATCTCTGGGATGTCATTAGACTAGGATACACAAAGACATCTCTGGGATGTCATTAGGCTAGGATACACATAGACATCTCTGCGATGTCATTAGTCTAGGATACACATGGACATCTCTGTGATGTCATTAGGTCAGGATACAAATGGCCATCTCTATGATGTCCTTAGGCAAGGATATACATGGACATCTCTGGGACTTCCATACGTCAGTAGGCTACGATACACTTGGATCGTTTTGGAACTTCTTTACGAGACTAGGCCATGATACAGATGAACGTTTTGGGGAATTTCAATGCATCGCGAGGTCACCATACACTTGAATGTTTCAGTGGGCTCCCATGCTCATTAGGTCATCATACACATAGACGTCTCTGTGGGCCTCCATATGTCACGAGATTCGATACACATACACGTCTCTGGGAGCTAACATACGTCATTAGGTCATGATACATATGAACATCTTTAGGGACTTCCATACGTCATTAGGTCACGATACATATAATATAATCTTTGGGGGCTTCCATACGTCATTAGGTAACGATACATATGATATAATCTTTGGGTGCTTCCATACGTCATTAGGTCACGATACAGATTATATCTTCTTTGGGGGCTTTCATACGTCATAAGGTCACGATACATATGATATAATCTTTGAGGACTTCCATACGTCATTAGGTCACGATACATATGGACATCTCTGGGGGTTTCCATATGTCACTAGGCCATGACACAGATGGACATTTCCTAGGGCTTCCATTTGTCACTCGGCCATGAAAACCATGGACATTTCTGAGGATTTCATTCGTGGCGAGGCCACTATAAACACATACATCTCTAGAGACAGCCTCAATCTCTGCCTCATCCATCAATTAGACTGAATGATCCAAACGCACACTAATGGATGCTGCAATTGCAATCATTCGCTGCTAATTTCTCAAACCTGTCTCTCGAGTCAACCTTGTAGCCTGCAAATTGCCAGTATTGACACTGAACATCAGCAAGCAATAAGCGTTGTCTGCCTGCTTGTCTGCTGTAGTTATCTGGTTTCTACAATCGCTGTTGACGTGTGAAATGTGCGACTATTGTTACGTCAAGAAGTCAATTTAACTTACCAGTAGTGCATTTACGTCTAAGACAAGGTTAACGAGTAATACAGGAAGGAACCAACGAACGAATGAGCGAACGAACTTTATTTTCAGATGGTTAAGAACTAGGCACACAGGTGCCTCTTACACATGCCCTTAGCTGGAGAGGTCATATAATCCGCACGCCTGACCAGCGACTGACAGGAATAACTTTTTATGGGGAGCTACTAAAAAAACCGATATGAAGGGGGAGAGAGGTCTTTAGGTTTTATACAACAGATCAACATCAATACACACGGGTGAAACTTCCGAAGAAGTTCAGCACAGTGCCCAGGCTCTGTAGCACCAAGGATCCTAAAATACTTTGAGTAAATTTTAAACTCAAAATTTGGCCCGGCCAGCGCAGTTAGGCAACTGGTTTCGATTTCCAACTGCCAAGAGATTTTATACGTGGGCAGAAATGCAGGCGGGCGTCAGATCTCACTACCCAGAGACCAGTGGGAATTACTAGAAGTCCAAGTCCACGTGAAAAAGTCCCAGCCCCTGCCGGGGATTGAACCGACTGTGTGTACAGGCGAAGCTGATATTTCTGAAGCTATGGAAATTGCTTCCATAGATGACCTGCTGAATATACTAAGCTTGTCTTGTATACGTCAATCCTAGGTTTAGAAATATATAATATTAAGGCGTTTGCTATGTCTTCCGAAGGAGACAGTCATCATTTTTCGGCCATGTTATGAAAAGAGGGAATATAACATGTTGTGACCACTGGAAAGATCTGGTGAAGGAGGGATAGAGGAAGACAACGAGAGAAGATGCTTGACAGTCTTGTTGCATGGCATGGAGGTGTGTCGGCACACTAACTGATACATGCTGCAGGAGATCGCAGATTATGGAGAGGCATGATCGCCCGATCGCCCATGCCAGTCGGCAAGGCACCTGATAATGATGATTATATGTCTTTCATTGTACTCCAACAAAGCCAAGGATAATCATGAGCTTTATGGATAAGATTTGATAAATAAGTTTAGCCTTCTACAAGAGACTCAAGGCTGTCTGCGAAATACTTTCCTCTTTATAAGCATTGACTGGTACAGTGTCTGTTCGGGAGATGTAGCAGATGGGCTTTTGATATATGTGTTTACCTTAGTTTAATGACCGATTATTCCATACTGTGTGTTCGTGTATCTATATTTATGTTCATGTATCATGGGGAAAATGTAAATTGACTTTTCAAAGATCCCTATAGTGTGCTGACTAAAAACGTAAATAGGTTCGCTGAAATCAGAACTGTATGTTGATTAACAAGCAGGTTAAATTCGCGAGGACTAACTTCACTGTATCGGATTTGATCCCATATGAGCCAGTCTCTGTAAGTAAGACAACTAGCCACCCTCCGAGGGCGTCGCACAAATCACAAACACGGCAGCTCAGTGGCGATCGCCAGGGGATTCCAAACATTTGCACTAGTGAACCTCCAAACTAACTACACAGCGGTGAAACGAACCCATGACCCTAAGAACGCTTGTCGACACCCCTAGCCATCTGCCCACTGGATTATACTTATGTCCTCGACAACTTGTATTCGACAATGATAGCATTTAAATTGATCAACCTTTGAACATTCAACGTTGTCACTCTGTCTACACTTGACAAATCAATAAATACACTCACCCGATACTGTCAGTTGTTCACAAATCTTAACAAAACAGAATATTTAACTGAGTATAAATCATTATGTAGATACCTTGACATATTACCGTCAAAATATAAATGGACAAAAATACCTGTAATAATGGCATTTGGCCACATTGTTAATGTCTAAGCGTCGATGAACTGAAAAAAAAGAAATGACAAAATCGGCTATTCCGACAAATCACGTGCTTGTGCGAAAAGAAAACATTTAACAGGAAGTGATAGTTTCAACAGCATACATCGCAGTCATACAGCCTTTATTAGTACCAGAGAGTTATATGCGATATTATATGCGATATATTTTATTGCATACTGTCCCATTGTAAGAGGTTTGTCGTATTTGTCGAAACATATAACGTTTAGAGTATACACAACAATGCCCATACTGATATTAGACAATTTAAAGCAATGTTCACAAAACTACAGGAAGATATCAAAATAAAGTATGTAGAAGTAAAAAAAAACCTTTTCCACGCCTTTAGGCGTGTTGGGCAAATAGGGCTAGTCCTAAATTGTACAGCCCAATCGGACTTGGTGGGAGATATGGTCATCATTACGCCGGCGACCTTTACTTCCCGGACTTACCTTGAACCTACTCAAAGCTGGATGGACCTAGGAGCAAAAGTTTTTTTTTTAAAGTTCGGCTACTTTAGGAACCGAACCCACGACGTTCTGATCCGAAGGCGAAAGTCTAGCCGCTACACCACGGAGACTCGATAAATAAATATTCCCACATCAATACAAAATAATATATAACTGTACTCACATTGATACAAGATGATATAGAACTAACTTGCAATGATACCAGAAAACATAAATATACTTACAAAATACTCGCAGTTTCGGAAATATTTATGTATGTTTATATACATACTGATACGAGATAACTTAAAAATATACTCACACTGATACGGCATAATATGAAAATATATGCACACTGATAAGAGATAATATACAAATACACTCACACGGATACGAGAAAATATACAAATATACTCACACTGATACCAAGTATGTCTATAGAGATGATCTTGCTTGTCTCCCCATGTTTAAAGAGCACTGTCCCCTCAGCTCCTACGTAATCGTGCCCTGACCTGGCAGAGAGGTCCTGTGTCTTCCAGCTGACCTTCACCTCGCCGTCTGCCCCGTTGACTCTGTTGATGGTCAGCTGGGCAGAGCCGGAGCTCTCCTTCACTATGTAACTAGGTTTGCTGAACTCCAATCTGCCAGGCTCTGCATGGTTTAGAAAGGAATGCAGTTACTACACGTATGTAGTTTTGATTGTTCTGTCTAGAATAATACAATTAGGAAAACCCGTACGTTTGCTTCACAGTTTACTATGCAGGTACACGACACGCTCAAAAAGCAAACAAACGACATGACAGATACATGCCTTTTTCAGAAAACACCTCAAAACACAACATAAAAGAAGGGATTTAAGTATTTTCTTGCCCAAATCTGTCGCCGGCAAGTTTAACTGTAGTTATATATGCTGCAAGTGTGGTGTGTGTGTATGCGCGCTCGTGCGTTGTGTTAGTGTGTGTTTCCAAATATACAAAATTAAATAACAATACGTATTTCATTTGCACATGGAAGGTAGATTAAGAAAGATGAAGTTAAAAGTAAAGGGCCCTTTTCCACACTTTCGTGTCTATTGGACAAATAAGTCTAAACCTATATTTTATAGACCAATCGGCACTTGGTAGATTTTGTGACCAGCATCACGCCGGCCGCCTATACTTCACAGGACTATAGCAGGTACCCACTTAAGTCTGGGTCGACCTGGGAACAAAGGTAACATTTGGAAAAAGTTCGACTCCGTCTGGACCCGAACCCACGACCTTTCGATCCACATTCGAGCATCTAGCCGTTACACTAAGGCGGGGCCCCTCCCATGAAAGATAAAACTCAATTCAAATTGAGTTGGCTGGATCTGCACCACTGGTTGATGAATTGATACATGACAAGGCAGCTGTGGTCAAGGACCTTTGGCAACAAGCAAGTCATCAGTAAAGATTATCATGGCCTGGAGAGAATGAGGCATCTGGGTGTAACTTAAGGGTCTGATTGGCTTACTACACTCAGAGGAAAGGCAAGAGGAACATATAACCAGATTGTGACCGGTACCATCAATATTGGAACTCTGCGCTGACTGCTGAAGATGAGGACGGAGTATGCATGGTAAGCATGCTGTGATGTCAATTCTTGACTCAACTCCACTAAACTCAATCCAAATTTTAGTCACACGACATGAAGAAACAGAAACGACTTTCGTTAAAGGAAGGAAAAAAATAGATTAACTTCAGAGAATATAACAGCCTACCGTCATCGTTCACAATGGTAACCTGGTTTATGGACAGCTTGCCAATGGTAACTTCGTTTTCTGTGCTACCGGCTGGGTGATGAAATAACTTGACGAAAAAGAACTCGTCGGGCTCCCATACATCGTCGTTAATGATCTCTATATAGATGTCCTTCGTCTTTTCCCCAGCCTTGAATGTTAGCAGCTGTCTGATTGGTCTGTAGTCGCTTTCCGCTTCCGCTGTTCCGTCTATTGTTTCGATTCTGGAGCGTAAAAGAAATATTTTAGAAATAGCGCAGATATCTTATAGATTTATTACAACTACTACGGTTAACTTTAGTTAAAAATGTGCTCATTCCAGAACTTGTATTGAATATTTGATGCAATTGATAATGTTTACTATTACTTGATGTATAGAAGATTCGATGTCTGAAAGGAGAGAGACTAGAAGGGCAGAATGTTAAACATGCCTGCGTGTCTAATCCTTAACCCTTTGAAAATAAAGCTTGTTTATTCGTTCGTCCTTCCACATATGTGGTTCTCTGCGCTGAAAGTGTGGCTTTATCGATAAGACTACAACTGTCGCGCTGAAAGTGTGGCTTTATCGATAAGACTACAACTGTCGAGCTGAAAGTGTGGCTTTATCGATAAGACTACAACTGTCGCGCTGAAAGTGTGGCTTTATCGATAAGACTACAACTGTCCAGCTGAAAGTGTGGCTTTATCGATAAGACTACAACTGTCGCGCTGAAAGTGTGGCCGTATCTATAAGACTACAACTGTCGAGCTGAAAGTGTGGCAACACATAGCAAAACAAATGTGCAGGACATTTTCGACTTCGTGAGAAGTTGTAAAGGTGCTGCTTTGGTCGTTAATGTAATTCACGTGGGTATTTAAGATTTGTTTTGTTACTTAATTAAAATTACACAAGGGATGAGGGGAAAAAAAGAAAACATCTGTTTCGATACAGTTGGGCAGTCTGACAGTTATTTATGCATAAAAAGTTAACGCCGAGGTGAAAATAGGAACCCATGCAAGTTAGCACGTTCCCATGATAAGTAGTTACCGAGAAATTATCGAAAATAAAAAGGAACGATATTTGAAACGTATTATAGTTGTATGTGCCCGAAGCGCCACAGGTGAGAAGAGCATCCTTTGTTCGTTGCTTGACCAAAATTAGTTACAGAAAATTTTGAGAATACATAACATGACTAAGAAGAAGACCATAAATAACCAATCACTTGAAAATGTAGAGCATTTCACATATCTTGGCAGTGCGGTGTCCCTACTGGGAGGGACAGAGGAAGACAATTACGTCTGAACAAAGCTAGAGCTGCTTTTGGAAGGATGAGGCAAATTTGGAAATCCAACAATTACTGCAGAGGAACGAAACTCCGACTCTACAAGAGCATCATTTTGCCAGTTCTTCTTTATGGAGCGGAATGCTGGAGAATGACCAAAAAGGATGCACACAAGCTGTTCTCCTCCCACCACACATGTCTACGTAGAATTATCAAAATTTTCTGGCCAGATACAATCTCAAACACTAATCTACTTCAAGCCACAAACCAAGAAACTTTAGACAGTATGATTACCAAGAGAAGATGGAAATGGCTTGGCCACGTTATGAGAATGACACCAGAGGGAAAGAGAAAACAGGGGCGCCCAAAAACAACATGGAGACGAACGATGGAAAGTGACCTGAGTGCGGCATCTTTGACATGGAAAACTGCACTGAAGATTGCACAGGACAGGAAAGCATGGAAAGTCCTCTCTGAAGCCTCATGTGCCACTAGGCGTAACGAGAACTGATAAAGAAGAAGAAACATGGTGAGGTTTTTCAAGATCTGCATATCCAAGAGAACTGGTTAAAACAAAACAGTAGCATACCTCTAAGAAAGAATATGTTGATCATTTGAAACAAAATGGTGAGTTAGAAACAGGAGGAAGAGAAAACATGGCTCAAGGAAGAAATGGCAGAGGCCAGAGAGCATGAAGGTGAACAAATGATATTAGAAAAACTTGTGTATGAAACAAAATATACGAGGCAGGGAAACTGTCAAATGACAGTTTTGTTAAGGTTTCTAGCAGTGTTGTGAGCGATGTTCTGCAAATAGCTTGCACACGATAAAGATATAATAAGTTTAGTAATCAACACTGACCCAATGGAAATTTCCTTGGAAAGGTCCCCCTCTCTCTTGACCCCGATGCGGACGTGGCCTTCGTTCTCTAAAACTGCGCATGTAGCTGCTGTAAACTCCACCACGGCTTTGTCCGGCCGCCGATTACCAGGCTGCTGTTGGTCATGTTTGGGGACCGCATTCTTGCTGCCATTAGAGAGACTTTGTCTCGACGAGGACTTTTCGTGTTTGCGGACGTTCTCCACAAGCTGCAGGTTGAGCAGAAAGTAAAACATGTTCATTTGTCTGCTGTGACACATAACCTCAAGTAGTTCTTTTTTTTTTTTTTTTAGTTTATTTCATGTCTATCTACGTGTACCAGTGTGTGTGTGTGTGTGGGGGGGGGGTCTCTCTGCGTGTAATTGTGTGTGTGCGAGCGCGTGCGTGCGTGTGAGTGCGTGCTTGTGTGTGCGTGTGAGTGTGTGCGTGTGTGCGTGTGAGTGTGTGTTTGTGTGTGTCAAACAATCTAAAAAATAATCGATCAGCTTTGAGTTGGTCATGCTGGTTTCTATTCTAGTCTTGTGAATAGAAACAGTGACAGTCGCAGCAGTATTAATACTGTCCTACTTGTAGTTTTGTACAGCAGCTATAACAGACTATTTGTTGTAATAGTTGTAATAGTAGAGTAGCAGTAGCAGCAGCATAGAAGTCATAACTGTCGATTCCAAATGAAGATGGTGACTTGCTGCTTGAACAAGTAAACTTCTAACACTATGTGTCCTTCTGTATTATCAGTGTGATGTTGGTGGTGGTGGTAGTGGTGGTACTAGTAGTAACATTAGCAGCAGCAGTAGTAGTAGTAGTAGTAGTAGTAGTAGTAGTAGTAGTAGTAGTAGTAGTAGTAGTAGTAGTAGTAGTAGTAGTAGTAGTAGTAGTAGTAGTAGTAGTAGTAGTAGTAGCAGCAGTAGTAGTAGTAGCAGTAGTAGATTTAGCAGCAACAGCAGCAATAGTGGTTTTGGTGGTTGCTGATATGGCGCAGGTAGTGGGCACTGTAGCAGCTGTAGCACAGCTGTGTTCCTTGTTGTGTATGTTGATATCACACCCATGTTCGTCTTTAGGTTTGCTACAGGAGAAGTCGATTGGAAGATTATAGACTAGGAGGGAGATGGTCGTGTCGATAGTGGTGATGAAGATGATGTCCTGCTTGCTACATCCTTCTCACGTGACTCTGATGCTTGTAAAATAAAACGGCTAGAAACAACTGTTCTTGTCTATACTGTCTTTATTGTCGTACTTCAGCAATGACACAAATAACATCAATGATATTCTGAAAAGCGCTGTGTTCTCCCTATGGTTACATACTCGTAGGTTCGCGTTGTGTTCTTTATCTCTAGTTACTTTGTTTCTAGTGCCTGTGAATGCCACCTGGCTTCTAGTGCTATAAGGTACTAACGGCTTAATCTTCAATTTTAACATCTCAATAGTGTTTCTACCTAATGTGTCGCCGTTAAACATAGATCCAGGTATCTTGTGTGTTGTATCTGTAGCTCGATGTCTTGTTTCACGTCTCTTCTCTAGTGTCTATCTTTGAGGCTCAAAGTGACTGGTTCCTCTGCTTTTAAGTCTCGAGGACTGAAGATGGAATTATCTTTTCCTTGAGGGTCCATGTTACTAATCCCTCCTATTCAAAGTCTCGACAACTGAAGGCTCTTAGAGGGTAAATATGACTGGTCCCTCCCCTCTTGAGTCTTGTGGACAGAAGAAATGCCTTAGTGGTTTCTCACTCATTATTTATACTTGGATGGTGGAATGCTAGTTGTTTGTTTCCTTTTTCTTTCTTTTTTTTTTTTCTACTTCTAGAATATTCTAGTAAGTTTCAACATGTTTACTACGTGTGTTCTCACATAGGATTTTCTAATAATATCTGATTGCATCGGATTTCATCATCCTATTCTGCGCAAATATAGTAGTTAAATTGACAGCTGACGTCATAGGGACTCCTAAAAAACAAGTACTACTATGCTCTCTCTTATAGGGCATGTCAACAATGACGTCAAATACTATTCACAAAATATTGTTGCTAAGACCTGTTGACTTTCTTCTCATTAACTAATACGCAAAATTCTACCTCCTAACAAACAAGTAATGACGTCAATATTTTAGTTTTGGCGGAAAAAGAAGGTTACCAAAACTTGTTGATCTCGGTACATCCTAGCTCTGCGCCATATACCAACTCCTAGCAAACAAGCTATGACCTTTCCCAGCTTTACACTAAAATGCCTAGAAAAGTCTCTTATGTTAGAACCACTCAACTATCGTATTAAATAAGTTTACAAATATTGTTTGGCATTCGTAGGATTATAATACAGAGATCAAGACAGGCGGACACATTAAAAAATGTTATTTGTGTATCCTTTGCATGACGTTGCAGAACAGACCCCAGCTTTTTATGGCGGACACACTAGACAACGTAAAGAACGACATCCATAGTTGCTAGGTCAAGATTCTAAGCTGTCGTCTTCAAAAATACAGTGTCTTGCTGCATAAAATAACGTAAAGTAAAGATACCTTCTTATGCCTTTAGGCACATCGGGCAAATGGAAAAAGTTCCCATATTTTACAGACCAATCGGCACTAGGTGGGTAATGTGGTCAGCTCCGGCTATCTTTACTTCCACAGGACATACATCTGGTACTAATTTTAGGCTGGATCGACCTGCGACGCCACATACCATGATAAAATCCACGCAGCCAGTAGTGGGTTTCGATGGCGGTATGTTGGAATTACGAGTCGGACTCCCAACGACTAAGCAACTGACGACGCGTCTAAGTGAGCTACCTACAGAACCTGTCTTCTGCTATAGTTATGTTTTCTCTCTCTTACCTTAAGTGGCTTTCCGTGGCAAAGTGGTTGAGCCGTTTGCCTCGCGCTCTGAAGGTTGTGGGCTCGTTTCACGGCGGCGCCGTTCAGTTTACTAGTGCAGTTATTACTGAGATGCCCGGCGATGGTCGATGGAGCTGCGGTGGTCTTGCTCTGTGCGAGTCTCTCGGCAGACAGAGAGACTGAATCATAGGGACAAACCCCGTTGCAGTGATGTCGGTCCTCTCACGTTTACGCTTACCTTTCCATTACCTTGAATTATTTAAAAAAACAACGATCATAACTTAACAGGAAACGAAATCTCAGTACACACACGGTGACAGCAGCTTACCTGCTCAAACTCTTTACTTGTTCTAGGAATCAGTCGAGCACCCCCACTTAGCAGTCTGGTCGCCTGAACACGATACCACCCACTAGGTTTTGGCGTTTCTTCCGCTATCTTTGCCGCCATTACCCTCGCAGCTTCATCTTCGTTAATCCTGTGGTCTTTTGCCAGCTCCTAGAGACAATAAACGTGATTTGTTGTTTGCACCGACAAATTAAAATTACATTAGAATAATAACACTGATTAGATGTTCTGTTACAAAGTATCCTTCCTGTGCTCCTCCCCCCTCCACTCTAAAACAATTAATCAGAGAGCTAAAATTCAAAACTTCTTCAAAGTAGTTTCTTTGGGACTAAAGTCGCAAATTGGTCACATTTCTTCACTACTGTTGGAAGCATTTCAGGATTCTCCCTTCAGGAATAGAGATCACCTTGGCTATCGTTATGCATGTTTTCTCCGAACTCAAAACGAATCCCTACATGGGGCATTTTCACCTCGGGGTTAAGTCACAGATTGTGCCATGTTTGTTATCCTGCTAATCACAGGAATAGGAGAGCAGTTCTTATTGTTATCATCTGCGGTTTACTGTATTTTAAAAGCGGTTGTTGTTATCAGCAAATGTTTATAGGCTGCCTTGTCGAGGTAGCTACAGAAAATTCACCATGCTGTTTATCTGTAAATCGTGTGTTTGTTCGGAACCAAATAAAACCGCTGAAGTTGGTAACTGGTATTCCAGAAATGGTTCTTGTCCCAGTGACGTCAAGTTGGCATCATTGTACGTGGCCGTTTCTGTCTACTTGTTTGATGTTGCCTATTTTATAATTTCCTTACTATGTACAGCAACAATCCACCATAACACAATGCACAGAAGTATGATTGTTTTTTCCCCTTGTGATAAAGACAAATATCGAAACGTTGGCTAGTATCTGTGTGCGCTTTCCACATCACTGAGCTTTTTAAGTAGTTTTATGCTGATATGTTTTTTCCATTAATGTGTAAAATTGTTGTGATGTAAAACTGTGATCAATGATTAACTGTGTCTACATGACAAATCTGGAAACCCGCGGATGATGACATATGCTTGTGATTAAACCCGAAACAGTCTTAGAAAGACCATCATGTAAACTTGTTACAGCTGTTAATGTGTCTTGTAGATAACATGACTGGTGACGGCATAATGTAAACTTATTACACCTGTTAATGTGTCTTGTAGATAACATGACTGGTGACGGTGAGATAGTAACAGGACAATATGGGTGTTAATCCCACATGGCCACAGATATAGCGGAATCCAGAAACAAGTGAAGAAGAGAATTACAAACAGAGGTGGATATGATGGGGAGTAAATGGAGTAAACTGCAAGAAATAAAAAAAAATGCTTAGCGTGAGTTGTGTGAGGGCCTAAGCTCATCGGGGATAAAGGGCAGAACATGTTTCCATTGTCAGCTTTTTTTTTTTTTTTGAAAAATTAACAATAAAACGGATAGTTGCACAAATTTATTTATTTACATTTTTAAAAAACACCTTAAAGTCAACTGACCATGAAAACAGCCGACAAAGAACTTACCCTGGCCACTTCCATAATCTCTGCTGTCCCACTGACCCCTGGTCCAGTCTTGTCCAGATCTGTGTGATATCATTAAAACATATTTTATTATTACAGAGTTTATTAGATGGGTATGGTTTATAATATTGATTCTCAGATTATTAAAGATGGCGGTCAATGAAATAGAAAAACAAAAGAAAGATTAAGTGACTGCATTAGCGCACACAGCACAACACGGATCAGAAAACGTATATGACGGGAAACAAATGTAGATAGGACAGATAACAGAGGTAATAACGGGGAAAGGTAAATTTTACTCTGGTCTCCCCATTTGCACATCGCTACACACTAGCTCGCTTCTGATTAGACGACTTACTGACCAGCTCACTACTAATAGGTCGGCCTCGAGCGATCCGACTTTCACAAAATGTCACGGGGATATTCTGCACTCGCGCTCATACCGCGTGTTGTATATTTCACCATGCCAGAGCTTTTAACACTTCTAAAACATTTAGATACTGGGTCTAACACACAACCCCACTAGAGAGTGACAAAACCTATGTCCCATGCCGTTTCTTTCTCGGAAATGAAAACGTAAATACCAGAAAACAACAGACTGCGACACTTATAACCTCGACCACGGTAGACTAGTCCAACTAATTTATCACTGGAGTTAACCTACAACTGGTGGTGTGCAAATGGGAAGATCATCGTAGAAATAACCCGGGGCAAAAAAGAACATAGCTAGCGACAATAATTTGTGACAACTAAGTTTAAACAAGATTCGAACTATTCGCCAGTCATCCTTGCTGGAGGACACCAATGCATCATTTACCTTCACAAACTATGTGACCTAATAAGGTTTATGTGTGGACCACGAAAAGACCTTTGACCACTGGATTCAATGACCTGTTTATTTATACAATGTACTGTAGACAATCGTTTTGGCTTTGATTTAATGTCTGTTCACAATGAACGATCCTAAACATCTGTACAGGAAATATTACCAACCTAAACATAATTTCTGCCAGTCCGAATGTGCTTTTGAGACTTATCGAATAGGTATACATCATCCTCATCAGTTCTCGTTATGCCCAGTGGCACATGAGGCTTCAGAGAGGACTTTCCATGCTTTTCTGTCCTGTGCAATCTTCAGTGCAGTTTTCCATGTCAAAGATGCCACACTCAGGTCACTTTCCATCGTTCGTCTCCATGTTGTTTTTGGGCGCCCCTGTTTTCTCTTTCCCTCTGGTGTCCATGTGAGAGCTGTTTTGGCAGGTATAGCAGAAGTCATTCATAGGTATGCTTTAATCTCAGACTGAAGTTTTCTATTGGGTCTCCCACATCCCATGATTTTTAGCGTAGACAGGAACGTCTCTGTGAAGATTGTAGTCTGGAACCGGGTCGGTTAAAAGTGTAGACCTCTGTTGTACATGCTCCCATGTGGAGTTTCTTCTTATAGTCGTTTTAATAACAGTAACATCGGGTGTCCTCGCCTAGTTTTCAGTCTTAGCAAAATTGGGAGGAAATCAGTTAAACCGCTTGATAAAACTATCAACAGAAACTTTCCCGGTCTCACTGCCACAAGCCACATATACTTACTAAAGCCAATCTCAACCTCGGAAGAGATCTGGCTGCGCCTCCAGCAGATTCGTTTATCCGCGGCGTAGGCCAATAAAATCAGCATTGGGAACATCAACAGTGTGACAATGGCCTCCCATAGTTCAACCACTTCAGGTGTTATCACAACCAAGACAAGAATGAGCCAGACGTAGGCGAATATTCCAGACGCGGTTGTGGTAGCAAACACCAGATGGTTCTTGATTCTCCTGGCAAAAAGAACTTGATTTCAGTTATAAGAATTAATCAAGTAACAGAAAGTGTATTGGTCGGCACTCATAGAAAGAAGTAGAACGATAGAAGAACACACTAGACAACATAAAAATCGAAAGCTTTAGTTACCGTGCCGGGAATTGAACCTGTCACCTCCAGACGGCGTGTGCGCCTCGCCATGAATACAAGTGCACTAAGAACATCGTCAACTAGGCACCCCCAAATAAAATGTGTCTTATTGGCCATGCCTATCGTACAGCTTGAAATTCACAACTATGGAATACGGACAGAATTCATTTCAAACTATTGAAATGGCACCAAAAGTTACAGAAATTTATATTAACGAAGCAAATGTCGAATAACAATCACAGCAACAATTTACGAACACAGTAGACCTTAATGCTTTGTCTAGAATACACAAACATCGAAGAAAGGTATTTGATCTATATAAAGTAATGGTTCTATCACCAGTGTGGAAAATATCTCCAATCTTATTGCACACTTACATTAAATTGGTATAGATTTGAGGAACTCCTGGTTAGTTTGCTTGCTTGCCGTCATTTGGTCACGAGTTAAAAATCTCATTTAGGAAAAGAAATAACCATTTCTCTATACATTAATTAATTATCTGATGAAAGGGAGGGGACACAAAGACGTTTTAAGGCGGTAACGAGACATTCTTCAGTTGGCTTTGTTTGTGCTGTAATATAAATATTGAAAGAGAGAGAGAATGAGAGAGAGAGAGAGAGAGAGAGAGAGAGAGAGAGAGAGAGAGAGAGAGAGAGAGAGAGAGAGAGAGAGAGAGAGAATAGAACGAATGGGATTGGAACATAAATGTATGAATTTTACTGGATCAGTTATTATCTCATGGTTATTTCTAACATGAATATCATTGTGAGAGGGCAAGAGTTCAGAATACTAGCTGAGACTTAAGGAAATTTGCATAATTTTGTAGTCCCCCAGAACTGCATTGACCGTTGGCTCGCAGTTCAGCGTGGCAAAGAAACTTGCATGGACTGGTAGTCTGGTAGTGTTAGTTTCAGCTTCATAGCAAACGAGTCACCCCATCTTTGCTCCGCTCCTGTGCCAACGAGAAACACACTGAATGGGTACTGGCTAGGTACAAGTAAAACTGCTGAGAGGGAAACTAAATCAGAGAGTGCTGCTTGCGCTGATGTTTGTGGTCGTAGATTACCACTCCAAGATGTGAAGTTTTCGGGCTATTCTGTCTTACTGTCGGTTTATTCTTCCACGGGATTAAACTCTTAGAAGAATGTTTGCATTAACTGAGTGTAAGAATTGCAGCAAGAACTCGTGATTGTACGGTTGGTTAACTATTGCTCGAGTGTTCTATGTTATGAATGAGAGGGACGAGAGACCATATGTATATCCCTCATCCTCAAATTATTGCTGTATAACGGGCATAATAAAGCTTATTAAAGACGTTTCGGTAGTCTTTCTAATACTAGCCGCTTGATTACTAGTCGAACGATTACCTATTTCACATCTGTTCTTTTATTCACCCACACATACGTTCATTTACCCTTCCGGCCCAGGATGGGCTTGTTTTTCAGAGAGAAGACCATCTCACCTACCTGGTCTCTCCTTTAGGGATGGAGACGATGCAGACTGCTGTAATCACGAAGAGGTTGAAGGCAGCCGATCCAACAATGGTCCCGGGACCCAGCTCCCCGGCCACGAAGGCGTGGCCGCAGATCTCGATCACACTCAGCAGGATCTCTGGAGCACTAGTGCCGAACGCCAACAGTGTCAGGTTGGCTACCGTGTCGTTCCACACCTGTTGACACCGGTACGTACATGAGCTAGTCAGGGACCAATGACACGGACACCGCACTAAAAGACAAGTTGCACAGTACTTACAATGACACGGACACCGCACTAAAAGACAAGTTGCACAGTACTTACAATGACACGGACACCGCACTAAAAGACAAGTTGCACAGTACTTACAATGACACGGACACCGCACTAAAAGACAAGTTGCACAGTACTTACAATGACACGGACACCGCACTAAAAGACAAGTTGCACAGTACTTACAATGACACGGACACCGCACTAAAAGACAAGTTGCACAGTACTTACAATGACACGGACACCGCACTAAAAGACAAGTTGCACAGTACTTACAATGACACGGACACCGCACTAAAAGACAAGTTGCACAGTACTTACAATGACACGGACACCGCACTAAAAGACAAGTTGCACAGTACTTACAATGACACGGACACCGCACTAAAAGACAAGTTGCACAGTACTTACAATGAAAAGATAAATAACTAGTCAAGAAAAAAAACATAATCTTCTTCTGCATTAAGTTTTTCTTCGCGTTCACAGGCTCTTAACTACGGAGGATAACTATTTGTTCGCCTGCTTCTGGACATTAGTCTTGTTCTAGAGCTTGAGTTTTGCGTGCACCTCCGCTTTACAGATCTGGATTATTTTTTTTTTTTTTTTTTGTACACAGAGTGTTGGTTTCTCGCCACTCAGGCCGATGCACTCAGACTTCGAAGTAAACCTCGTAATACATTGAATCTTACGACATGCTTGTTATGTAGGTATTGAGTCTATTTTTTTTCCTATAATAGAGCCCTGAAACCCACAGGGGGAGGGGGGGTGGTGTTATATAATTTGCTTCACACACAAAAAAATAAAAGTTTTGGAGATTAATCTTTAACGGCAAAATAACAAGAAGGAACAAAACACAACACACATACACACACACACACACACACACACACTAATTAGCGTATCTTCACAATATAACAATTTCTTCGCAGAAGGTCATTCTCATCCCATCAGGTCAGATGGACACTCGGTCCCAAAGGCAACTTTCCTGCCTCCGGAACTTTTATGCGCATGGTATTTTTGATATTTGAGTCCACCGCCGTGAAGATCGATTTCTGCCTCTCTTTCCGTGAGCCATACTCTCTAATACTGTTATTAGGACAGTGCTTTCGTAAAACACAGAAGTGTCAATTGCTGAGAAACTATTCGTTAACTGAAATCACTCGTGAAAGCAATAATATAGATTGATGGGCCTAGGTATAATGCATACATATATTTTAAAAAAGCAAACACCTGACTGATATCACACGCAAGCCTTGAACATACCATCACACTAACTTGTCATCTTCAAGTAACAACATCTCTCCAGTCAGACATTTCCAATCATATTAAATGATTGCGTTCATTTTTAAACATATCACTCACATAAATGTAGACATAAACACTCCAAAACCAGAAAGTGCGAAATCAATTGCTAAGCCGGCCACTAGCAAGAGATACACCCGATACGTCGACATCTGTCTCACTAGGTCATAGATCTGGTGTCATGGAAACAGCAGGACATCCATTACTGGCATAATGATAAGCATTAGATCTGCTGTCTCTAAAATGCATGTCGTGCATAGCGACTAAGTTGGTGTTTTCTGTAACTGAGTGCATTAAAAAACTGTTCTTTGGCCACAAATTGAGAAGAGAGACATTGGACAACATCCTGACAACTGGAAATATCACTGGGAACGGGGGTAGAGGCAGACCAAGAGAGAGATAATGCTGGATGGGCTTAAATAATGGCATGAAGGGATATCATCAAGACAGCTGTTTCAGGCAACCAGAGATCGTAATCTGCGGAGACGCATGAGCGCCTACGCCAGTTGGCAGGGCACATGATGGTGATGATGAGTGCATTAAGCCGAAAGAAGCAGATATCGCAGCCCAGCTGTAAACCAGAACGCTACGTGTTAACCGCCTTCTAAATCTAGACACAGAAAAAGAAAAAAAAATAAGTGGTATGCAGTCTTACCTTGACTTCTATGACCTTGACCCCGTTGCCGTCAGGGTTAGGAATGGAGATGAGTCGGGTCTTGCTGGTGATATGTTCAATGCCACACATGAAGGTGTCCGAGGCGATGGCGATGCCCAAGAAACACCACAGCAGCCCCAACAAGTACAGGAAGGCCCGGGTCCCCTTGTTCCACGTGTACTCGTTGATGGCCGGTAAAAGTAACCCTTTGTCCGAGCACAGATAGTGCTCCATGGAATAGTTGGACATGTTTAGTCTTTGCTAAGTCGGGTATCCACCGAGATGAGGAGGCCAGCATTCAAATCGTCAACTCATATCTCAAGCCAGAGGAATTATCCTTCATAAAAAGATTCCAGCGTATTTGAATAGTGAAATAGCAAGATTATTTACCGTCAAGTATTTCACATAAAATGTCTTACACTCTAAGAATTCCCCTGAAGTGGGGTAATGCTCGCTACTTCGTAATAAAAATAATCTGCGTTCGATAATTGCACAATAAATAAAGTGTTAACTTTTATCTGCACAATAGCATCTTCATGGATTATACTGACCTTAAACGTTTTTGCTTGTACAAATGGCTCTTTATTTGCTCATTCTCATCAGTTGTTGTTGATAGAATCTTGGCATGCACACTATCAGAGAACTAATTCTAATACAAACATTCAAATATGTCTCTCTTGTGGTGCTGCCACTGGGTCAAACAGGGAAGCGGGTAGACTAACAAAGAAGCAGAAAGATGGGCACTGGAAAAGATATACAGATAATTAACATATTCTGGCCGGCAAACAGACATAAGAAACGCGACTCCCAGATGGATGGATGGATGGATTATTATATAGATGGATGGTGGATGGGTGGATGAATAGATGGATTGATGGATGGATGGATAAATGGGTTAGTTAATGACAGATGGGTAGGTGGGTTGACGCAGGCATAGGTAGATCGGTATGTGAGAATATAAATTATTATTATTCTGATCTATCTCTCCGTTTACTTCAATATTAATCCTTCATGCTGATATCCAGTCAACCTTGCAATCTAAGGCCTACTTTGATTTACATCAGAAATGACATTCTATCTAACTTCCCCTCCCCATTCATCTCACCTACTGTCAGTGAGTGCTAAAATATCCCTAATCAGATGATGGCATCGTGGTTCCTAATGGCTGTGGATTACGTGTGACATCAGGAATTTATCCAGTGGAACTGACAATTTCAACATGGTGCTTTAGCATGAGGGGAATAATGGATTCACTTTTGGTGTATACTGATCGGGAAAATGTTGTACGGTTTCTCTCTCTCTCTCTCTCTCTCTCTCTCTCTCTCTCTCTCTCTCTCTCTCTCTCTCTCTCTCTCTCTCTCCCCATGTGTGCGTGTGTGTGTGCGTGGGCGCGCGTGTGTGTCGTCAAACCAAGGGAAGTAATAAACCGCTTCTATTATAAAAAGAAATAAAATGTTAATTTGAATTTTATCCTGTTTTAAATATCTTTTAGAGGCTACTAGGTGACGTTTAACCTCACCAGTACCATACAATAATCTACAAACACCTCCTGACACAAACTGCCACGATTCAGATGTGAGTCGCCCACGCGCAAGTTACAGAAACTCCGTTTAACCCCGACGACAGTAGGGGTGGGGCTTCACGATTTTTAAAAAAAAAAGTCGTCTCATTTCGGGACACGGTTATAAACAAATGTAACTAGAGAGGCTTTTACACTGAACACACTTCGTGTCCAAGTCGTCCAGGATACACACATTACTGTTATTTTGAAGCCCCAACCTGGCTTTTGCCGGGGACCCTGAATATAGCTGGGCAATGAATATGGCCTAGCCATAAATATGGTCTCACGGCTGAAAGGGGTTTCTAGGACCTCTCCACGGGTGATCCTCATCCGCATGGTGGCACTTTGTGTCACCGGGTGTTTGTCTTTTTTGTGATGTCCTTGCGGGGTAAAACTACCTACCTACCTACACTGAACAGTAGGCTACTTTCAAACCATAGGCTACCCAACAGACTCGTTAAATGTGTTTAAACAGGGTTTCTGGAATTAACTTCGCATCGATTCCATCAGAAATTTTTTTTTTAATCTAGGCCGTATTCTACCTGCAAGTTACTTCATAATCGTCAGGGGCACCAATTTAAATATCTAAAATACCAGGCATGACTGCCATCGATGACTGAGTGGCTTATTGGTCGGCAAGTGAGTGACTCTGTCACCGGTCGAAAAAGGGAGACATCGCATCAATGCTGTAAGAGTCCTTTTCGGGGCTATTTGTGGCCACCACTCTATGAATATAGAGCAAACATGGATAACAATATAACCAATAGCTTTGTCTAGGTAAGCTGGCTGGAGTTTGGTCAAGTTTCTGATCAACGAACTTGGCCCAAATTGATTTTTACATGTAGAGTTCTCATCCAAGAGACGTACATCCTGCAGTCATGAAGAGGGCAAACTGCGATGCAGTACCACCCAAGTAATAACATTTTCAGGGACAGGGTACCGACCTTTCATGGTGCAATCATAAAAATGTTTTAATGTTTTTTTTTTTTTTTACCCTAATTATAATTATCATGTCACCGGTCATTTGCAAAACCTCGCTCTAATCACGGTTTACCTGAAAGAAGCACGGTGTCTCTCGCCAGCTCTTCCACCTCGTATACTTTCATATCCAGGGTGTCACTGATATCCTGTGCCAATCTTCGTGTTAGTCTACCCCTGCCTCTCCTTCCTGGTATCATGTCTTCTGCTAATATTTTGTCCAATCCGCCGTGGCAACTTTACTCCAGTATAACCGTTCAGCATGATAATATGGGACTTCTGAGATTTGCTCGTGTCGCCCCCATCCGTAAAGCAACTCCTCTTTTAGTCACTGAATGCCGATATTTTGGTGTGTAATCCCTACATTATTTGTATTTTTTTAAAAGGTAGTATCTCTTTAAAAGAGAAAGGAACACTCATATTTTTTTAACCTATGAACACCAGAGCCGCTTTTGGTCAGTGTCCAGCATTCTTGCTTGCAGGCATCCTCGTCAACTGATAAAGCCCTCGCTGGGATAGGACAATACTTTCTAAAAACTAACGTGGACTCCCAGATAGATGCAGTCTAAAATGGAGCACAGGGAAATTAAACTATTCCCCTGATTTAAGAATGTCGTAGGTTCCAATCCGCATACAGGCGGATTTTTTTCCCTCCAATACATGACCTTGGCTCCTAGTTTGTCCTTGCCTTAAATGAATACCAGATAAAGTTCTGGAAAGTAAAGTCGGCCGGTGTGAAAACTGGTCTATGCAAACATATAGCCTTACATGCCCGATGCGCCATGGGCGTGTAAAGGAACCTTTTGTATTTTATACTCTAAAGGCCCTCGGTGTGGTGACCAGACCAGCCCAGCTGAATAATGAATTCCTTAGCGAACACAGAGGTTTGCAGGCTACCTCAGCATCGTGTATCTCTTGCAGGCGGCTTAATTACACTTCTGTCGAGGTTGAATGGGAATTCTGGGCTTTGCCATGATGTCATCCAGGCTGAGATTTTCTAACCTAAAGTTGCAAACCTTTCTGTAGCAGCCAGGAGCGGTAAACACTGTCAGTCTGCCCCGCTGAGTACCCAGTTGTCTACATTTGTTACTTACAGGAATTACATAGTAAATGTACATTAATGGTGCTAAGATTTCTTCACCTGTACTGAGAGTAGCTCTCTGTATCTTCTATACAAGTAATGGATCGATCTTTTCCTCTCTGTTGTACAAGGAAAATATATTTTTTATTTACCGTTTTTAAATGAATAAATGTTCAGTATTTTGTACTGGTAAAGGAATATGTATGTTTCCCCTGCTAAATAAGGAATATATATTTTATTTTCCGTTGTCTAAGGAATGGGTTTAAATTAGTTTGTGTTGTTCAAAGGATTAGAACTATGTTTCCCCTGCTGGACCAGGAGTATATGAATCCCATTTCCCGTTGTTCGCGGAGTGGCTCTATATTATTTTGTGCTGTTTAAAGAATATATCTATGTTTTCCCTGTTGAGCAAGGGATATATATTATTTTCCCTTTTGTTCAAGGAATGGATCTATATTCGTTTGTGCTGTTTAACGAATAGATCGCTCTTTCTTCCCATGTTGAACAAGAAATATATATATTTTATTTCCCGTTTTCGATAAATGGATCTACATTATTTTGTGCTGTTCAAGGAATATATCTATCTATTTTCCCATCGAACAAGAAATAGTTCGATTTCATTCCCGCTATAAAGAAATATTTCGATCTCATTTTCTGCGGTTCTTGTTATGTGTCAGTCTTATTGCCTTCCGTACAATGAATGTATCGATATTATTTTCCCTTTAGTCATCGAATGTATGTCTTATTTTCTGCTATAAACAAAACAACGCTTTCTTTTTTTTTTTTTCTTGCTGTACAAAAAATGTACCACTTGTATTTCCTATAAACCGTTAGACGATTAGTAAAAAAAAAAATTGTATTTGGAAGCGGCGGACATATGGTTTTTTTTAGACGCCTGGCATAGACCAAAGGAGTAATAATGAAGAGAGCTGACTGGCTACATGAAAAGAAGACAATGTACATTCTCTGGTTATGTAACGAGAAGGAGAAAACTGGAGTACATTATAACGTTGGGAAAGCTGAAGGGAAACATAGGCAGATGGAGACAGAGAAAGAGAGAGAGAGGATCTTCGACATTCTGACATCATGACTTTGAAGAAATCTGTGTCAGACGGGGGAGGGGGAGTTCTGATAACCTATGAACAAGACCAGCAAAATCTAAAACCAAGTCTAGTTGAATAAATGCTCAGTACACTAATGTGCTGACGCATATGAAGCGTAAATGAAGCGTAGACTGTTATGTTGTGTAAGTGAAAGGCGTGTCTTAAGTTAGCACATTGGTTGCATTAGCATTGCGCCTAGCTGAAGATATTTTTGCCGTGAACGAAAAGAAAAAGTCTGGGTGAAATAATTTGAAACTCACAAAATGCCCCTATTAAAACGGGCAACAGTGGCAATGAACTTGAAGACATAAAATGTTATTTAACTTGACACGACCGTGCGCAGAACGTACCACAAGAAAATCAACTCGCCAAAAGTCAATGAAACCAAATCAATCTTGTCGTTCTCACGCTAGCACTCTTAGAAGGTTGGATTCGCATGTATCCCCAGCTATGGGATAATCGTATTGACCTTGAAAACTCTATAACAATTCAATCTTACATCTAACAGAAATGCTAATTTGCAAGA